CCTACCAATCACCAAAACCTCAGGTTTTCTGTGGATCCATAGGGAATTCGTCAGGCAAGCTGCAACAAACGCCACGCCTGCTGGGCGCCGCGGTGGAGCGCGACAGTGCGGAGTCACAGCGTGCTCCGGTCCCGAGGCGGCTGTTGGGGCGGCTCCGTGTTTCGCCTGTGGAAGGAGAGCAACGTCCCAAGTGGGATTGGAAGACACCTGGACCCTGGACCTGATTTCAACCTGAAACTGGGACATGGAGATACATGACTCTATAAAAACAGGTACGACTCTACTATATACCCAATTTTTTTTCCGAGGTACTTATTAAGACAAAAACATTAATCCTACAGTGTGCCTACATGGACCTCTGAAATCACTGATCGGGAGTCATACGCTCTCACCAGTCATGCATGGGGTGGGGTCAAAGAGGACCTCCAGGTCTCCATGAGTGTTGTTTTGAAAGTTCCGCCAACCAGTTTTGTTGATATTTTGTATAACATAACTTTTATAATCAAGGGAAACCACATATCATCAGTATTCTACTTTGAAGGTGTGGGTGTGGGTGTACAGGTAATACTAATCCTACTGTGCTAAGTAAATCTCTGACAGCAAATAGGCACAAACAATTATGGATTTAAGACACATGAACAATGCAAATGCAAAGCTTCTTCATTGAAAAAACATCTTAATTTTATGAGAATATGATCATAGAATGAACAAACATAGAACGTGATCCAAGTGATTCCAAATGTATATATATGTTCGTTCATATTCTATTTGTCACCTTTATGTTGGGAGGAACATAAACCAACTAGAAAGACATCAAAGACTTTGCTTGCGGGGGTCAAAAAGAACTTTGTGAGCCAATGAATTGAACAGCAAAGGAAAGGAACACTATAGACTATAGGCTATAGTCCTTCCGCCTTTGAATGTCCTCGTCGTTCCAGATCTTCAAAAGCTGGGAGATTTCCAAGAGGACCCAGGCAGCCAGTGGGAGTCCCAAGTGAAATCTACACAAAGACCTTTTGGAGGCCGTGGAGGCGTTGTTTGGCTTTTGGAGGCAGCCTCCAATGAAAAGGCTTTTCGTTTGATACAGCAAGTTGAATCTTACAAATGCCTCCAATGAAAAGCTGTTGGCTCAACTCTTAGCATCTCACAAAACAACCAATGGAAGCGGTCAAAGACGAAGTGAAACACACCCTAGGCCGAAACGCAGGGGAAAACACCACCTCTTGACTCAAAACGTCACAATAAAACCATTGAACACCCACACTTCTGGGATACAGTGCTTGGAGTCGCAAAGAGTGGGATCAAATGCTCCACCCGTGCCTCGCGCCCTTCGGAGGTAACAAAGCGGCGAAACGGCCAAACGATCCCAAAAGAATCAAAGAATGGACCTAGATGGAGTACGGGTAATTAGGCAACGAATTCTGTCAAACATATGTGAAGTCGGATGTACAACCCCATGATGGTCGAAAACATCCTCTTCCCAGGCCAAAAGAAAGAAAAACCACCCTGTGCAGCCTGTGCACCCCGACCTGGAAGTGGGCTCACCACCTGTGTGAACATGCGACCTGCGAAGTGGTGTTGCTCGGCAACACAGAGACTGGGATGGCACTGACAAGTCCTTGGAGTCTCCAAATCACATGGGACAATGCCCCCGCCATGTCAAAAGACCGCTTAGACCAAGTACTTGCAAAACCACTGAGACTCCAGGTATCTGCATCAGAAAGCCTTGTGATGGGCCTCGAAATGTCACGTAGAACTTTGTTGTTCAGAACCTCAAAGACGTTCTCCATCGCATGGCATGCCGAGCCATGCCGAGCCTCCTCCGAGCCCCAACTTATAGGATCCTGTGAATTTCACCAATCTTCGAACCGTGCTTCCATGACACCCCAATACCCTCAAGGTTGGAACACCAAAGGCACTAAGCCCACAAAGGTTGCAACTCACTGCGGCAAATGGATCCAAAGCAACGTTGTTCCTGCTTCCACCGGAAACATCTCAAAGTGCCCCCCCCGAATGTCAATCAAAGAGCATGATCATCCAAAAACATACCAAAAATTAGCACAAAACCCATGTTGTCCCACCAGTGTCTCACCTCTCTTGGCAAAAAAAAACAACGCCACTCCACTGCCACTCCGCCTCCATCCGCGTCCGTGCGTGGCGCTGGTCGTCTGTTTTCGGCTCCGGTGAAACGCTCCGACCCGCTGGAAGAGGAGGAACGGCGGCGGAAGGGAGGATGGTCACAAAGAGGAAGATTCGCAAGACAAATGGATTGATTGATTGATTGATTGATTGATGGATGGATGGATGGATGGATGGATGATGATCATCATCATCATGATCCTGTGGTGGTGCAGGATGTCTTCTAAGAGTAATTGATAAGCCTGGCTTCATGAAGCGGGAGTGCGTCCTGCGTCGCAAGAAGTGCTTGACGCAAAGCTCTTGAGGGGTCGCCGTCAACGCTCCGTTCCCGAGTGGTTGAGATCTCTTGTGGTGGGCTTTGGATGATTCTATCACGACTCACGGTACACCTTAATTTGTGCTCTCACGGTACACCTCCTGGTAAAAAACCTGCATGTAGCTACAGTAACCCTAGAGATCCAAATAGCTAACCCATGCTAACCCTACAGGTGGTGTGTTGCCGATGAAACCGGTGCCGATCGATTCCCGGTGCCGTCGCGCCGGGTCCGTTGAGAAGTCGTCTCCGATTCGAACCACGGCTCGGTGTCGGTGTTCGGTTCGGTACGCTTTGGCCATGACGAAGCACCGAACGAGTGTCCACACGGTGCCCGTCCAACTGCCGTTTTTTAAAGCAACTGCGACGTGTGGTGTTCACGCCTGTTGAGTCTTGCAATGCACTGGAAAGATGCATGGAAGTTGGGTGGACCACTGAACAAATCCTTAGAGACATGTAAACACTCCCTGCAATGATCATGGAAGTGGATGGCATGGCCCCTTGGATGACCATGTTTCTCTACTAACCGGTGGTTGTCCTCTTCTATGATTCCAGGGAGTATGTTTTTCTGTATCCGGATACCTCTAAATGATCCGACTCGCCACAGCATTCACCAGGCTTAATGTAGACTCTGGATTGCACCCCCAGTTTGAATTGGACATCCTCTTCATATGGGGGCTTTCATTCATCAATGATTGGTTATTCTGTTAACCCCTCCCCCCGGTCGTCCTTTGTGGTCTTTTTCCCCCCCTCCACGCTCCGCCGGCGGCGCCACACGGCCGCGGTTCCTTTTCGGCGACTTCCGTTCGCCCCGCCGAGTCGCGCTCTACCTGGGCAGGGAGGCGACTCGGGGAGCCGAGGCAGGCGGATCTGTGAGAGCCGAAGAAATGGCTGAAGACCTCAAAAATGATGAAAAATGATGGAGAAGGGACTCGAGATAAGAAAAGAGGCCTCTAGGCCCTTCTCACTTCTTCTTTGAGGCGAGCCATGAGCAACGTCATCTAGGAAATGTGTTGCAAAAGCAAACTCTTCGTTCACGAGTCATGCCAGGCTCTGTATGAGCTTTGGGTGAAATGACCCCCATCTCTGGCTCCACTCAAGAAACCAGGCATAACCGGGCGCTAGTGAGATACTAGTAAGATACTCAGAATCATGATACAAGTACCTTTGACTACTCTTGGCCAGCTCTCAGCTCAGTGGGATTGTAAGACGCCCTGGTGAGGCCCTGGTCGGCTTTCTGCAAGTCAACATAAGTCAACCCTCCGAACAACATTATTTTAACTATACATGATGTGTCTGGTTCCCTTCATGCTTCTGGGCCTTCACTTCCTCCAAGATGTCCATGAAGATGCGGGATCAAAGTCCAAGCCATTCCTTTTCTGAGAGATGTGTTTGTGCATTTCTTTGTTTGAGGATCTAACGAACTCTGGATGGAGCGGATGCCTCTCTGAAAGACATCCACAATAGAAAGACATCCCAAGACATCCTTTTTTCGGCTTTCCAACGGACCGACGTCGAGTTTGCTGGGAGCTTCCACTTGGCAGCTAGCAGCGCTTTGGCGTTCTCCAAGCGATTCTGCCGCGCGCGGTTCCGGGCCTTGCTCTCCTGGCGAGCACCCACGAGCTGGCGAGCAAGGCACCGAAGCCAATGTAGAATGTAGGAGGGCAACATACACTGGCCGAGGGCCAACAGCACAGACCCGAAGCCATGAAGAGTTTACTGGGACTGGGACAGGCTCCGCACATCTCTATCATCTATGCACTGTGTATTCATGAAAAATGTTAAGATTTCCAAGTGGACGGTTCTACAAAGAGTGCAATTTGGTTTCTTATGGTTCTTGTGGCCCAAACTTTCCCAAACTTTGTTGTAGTTGGGGAGGGATGGCATTGACCCGGGTTTCGAACAAGCTCTCACCAAACACCGAGCAACACCTCCCAAACACCAAGCAGCTCAGACCCACCAAACTGGTCCAAACTCCAAGACTAGACTCGACAGCTCGATAGACCCAAGGCACCAACCTCCAAACACTAAGTCCCAAACACCAACCTCTTCGGTTGAAGGAAGGATTCCAGGAACGAATGAACATCCCACCAAGCTCTGATGGCCCTTGTTTTCCACCGATCCATTTGCATCTCTGGCTTGGCCTTCGCTCATCTGGGCTTCACCAGGTGACAGAGCTTCAGGTGCGTGACACAGCTCACGGAGAATATGGCAAGGTTGGTCTTCTTGAGAATGGAAGGACCCAGAAGGAGCCTTCTTACAAAAACAACGACCGACCTTTACTGCCATCGACCTACACAACCAAAGCGTTTTTGTTAGCAAATCCTCAGATTCCAAAATAGCAACTTATATTCGTACCTTCCAAATCAACAGCCATGTGTGCAGTTCTTCATGTTCGATGAGCTTTGGCTGTGTCGGTGGATCATGGGATCCAAACCTAGGGTGAAAGACAGCAAACGCAGTACCGTTGTCTGGAGACGACCGTTGTGGGTCAAAAAGCATCCAAAAACCCACTCACACTCAAGACCATATTTTTGTGGTATTAAGCCTGGAAGTCCCATGAAACCTCTACAAATTTTCTTTTTGGGATTATTAGCTAACATGCTTTATTTAAGTGGTTTGACATTCCGTCTAGTCTAGTCCAAGCGAAGCATGGGTTCGCGCCAGCACGCACGCCATGCAAAAAAGGCCAAAAATGATGTGATCGTCGCCCAAAGAACCGCAGCCAGCAGATCGTCAAGCACTGCGAGCAGTCCAATCCTGAAATTCTTGGAGCGTGAAGGGTAGGAAGGATAGTGGACACCATGGGTAACACAAGTACCTGGATGAGGTATATAGTACGACCGGCTATGACCATACCAGTAGTATATAGTACCTTTGCAGTGCATAGACAAACACCGCCCACAAAAAGGTCTGGTCTACAATGTCTTGGGACCAAACCATGCGGAAGGTCTTGGGACCCCCCAAAATGATCCAGAATTCTGGAACGTGGTCTCGAAGACGAATCGGGTTTGCTAAAGACCAAATCTCGTGGAGAATGATGCTCTGATTCATCTCTTCCTCTCGGAGCGATCCCGGAGACCTCTTCATGAAGGAGCGACTTTTTTTCAAAACCTAAAGGGGGATGAACAGAAAAACACTCAGAAGACATGTAGACCAAACATGACCAAACTTATGAATTGTGGGTTTCTGGGTACCCCCAAAAGTCCTTGTTGAACATTGGCAATACGAAAGGCGGCCAGATTGGGGGAAGCCCAAACAAAACACATAGGGGCTGGGTTCAATAAGTCATCTTGAATCCTGTCTCCTTCCTTCTCCCACCGCCTTAGGGTGAGCTAGCTCAAGCCCTCCCCGATCAGCCCCTTTTAACAAGCTGATCACCAACACTCGCCCATGCTGAGAGTCTGCAATGCGTAAAGGCTGCCTCCAGGCACCAAGACTAGGAAAGCAGTGGCCAGGAAGGGCATCAGTGCGTCCAGGATAGGATGATACCTGACTCTGAGATCAACATCAAGACTCAAGACTTTTCTGCGCATGTTTGGTCGAAGTCTAAACTTGCTATTTACTTGCTTACTGATATATTGCGAGTGGATCTTAATCAGCGAAGTTTGAAGCTATCACTGACGATCCATAAGCGGCGTAGCGTCGGAACGGAAACCGCACCTTTTCTAGTCGCTTGATCCTTGAGCCAAAGTACATATGGTACATACATATGTACAAGTTGCACTGTACGTGTCGCTGCACTTCCATTCGCACCCCCCATGTGAACGGCAACAATATGTTCCGATCACACACGAAAATTTAGGGATGTAAGTGCTACAAAAGAAATTGTATGATTTGCCGCGAGACTCATATGAGGCTCATACTACGAAACATGCTGGACTAAAGCGGACTTTTACATATAAAGTGTGCAACTATGGCTCAGAACCTATGAAAATCGAATTGAACAAGTGAGACAGTCACGAGGCCTCGCTCAGTATCCACTCAAAAGAGCATCGCTTTGATGTAGATCCGAACTGGTGACTTCCACGTAGATGTCACATCGGCAACTGACTTCACACTTCTCAAAAGATGTAGGTTTTGGTTTGGATACACTTACAGAACGGCAAGTCGGAGAGACAGTCGGTGACTGTCTGCCTTCCATTATGCTCATGGTATCAAATCGGATTGATGACTTACAGCGTTTCAGGTCAGATAGACATCCGGTGAATGACTTCCTCCCTGGTTTGCATGGTATCCTCATAGTCGTTCAAAGAAATCACCACTGGCGATAACCTCTCCATCCACGATGATCCCAGCTGCCCTGAGCATCCCGCCGATCATCTTCTCCCTTCTTGGACTTTCCCTTGGACTTGCTCTTTCCCTTCCCCTTTTCAGAAGGTTGAGGTACTTCGCGACGTTCTTGCGTTAGCGCCGGCCTCCAAGATGTTCCAGATTGGCCTCCTCCTTTGGAATGTCCTCGGGATGATGAAGAAGTTGTACCTTCTGCTGCATGTGCGTTGGCGGCAAGATCTTCCTGCAAAGCTTGCTCAAACACATCGGTAGCACTGGATGGTGATTTATCATGTGGTCTGGCTTTTGGAGCAGCCTTCGCCTTGCTCTCCTCTGCTGATGAGGGCCCGAAACTCTTAGGTGCTGTTGAAGGTTTTGGCTCCTCACTTGGTGCTGACGACAGCTTGGCCTCGGTTCTGGGTGTAGATGCTGGCTTTGCCTCAGCTCTTGACGAAGATGCTGCTTTCGCTTCAGACTTAGTCGTTGATGTTGACTTAGCTGTTGCCTTGGCTGCCTGCTTCTTCTTGCCCTGAATCTCCTTGGCCCTATCTCCAAAGCCTAGACGATCGGTAAGAGCTTGAACATGCTTCTGTTCTACCACGCTCATCCATCTCTCTGTATGTCCAATGTTGGGATTTCTGGCCATTGACTCTACGACATTCTGAGCGTGTGGGGGCAACCTGATCTCATGTTGATCAATGATCAGCAGAATAGACTTCTCCCATTTGCTCTTCATTCTCGAGTACATGATGTCCAGAGGATCGATCACCTTGTGGTTGGGTGATGTAACGTCGGTTCTAAAGTAAGAATATGTCCGACAACCATAAATCGCATGGATGCACTTCTGTACCAATTCAGTCATTGCGCTGGCTTTCTTCGCTTTCAACTCCTCAAGCTGGACGTCAGTCAAGTTGGTGGAGTATTCGAAGTTGCCATATTCCTTCTTGAAGGAGTACGGAGTATGACCAAATGATAGGATCACGAGTGCCACCTTGCAAATGAATTGCTCTCCTCTGAATCGATGCCAGGCCTCCTCAATCGTAATCTTGTTTTCGTTGGCAAAGATTCTCATCATGTCATTTGTTGGGTCCAATGGTCTCCCATCGTCATCGATTTCAGTGAAATCCTCTGTACCGAACTTGCTTATCACATCCAGACGCTTCCTTTTCCAATTTGCTTTGAAGTCGGTAAGGCTGGTGCAATAGTAGCTCTTGTACATCAGGGAGATCATGTTCAGCACACATTTGACCACATACCTATCCATCAAACCCGATGCATTCATGGAGACGTCCTGACAGTAGGCTCTCTCTTGATGCGCATAGATTCGAGGTTCCGGTACTCGACAATAGATGGGGAGATCTTCGTTGTCTCTTCCTTCTTCGGGATTGAACTCGGTCGCTCCATGCTGTGCATAGTATCCCGGTTCATCACGATCTGTCGGTTGATTCGCCTCCGGATGTAAGTCGTCGGTGACGTCTTCATCCTCGGGCTCACCATCTTGACGTTTCTTCCCCTCATATTGTTGTGTGCTCCTCTGGATCTCGATGATCACGTTTCGTTCGTCTTCATCTTCTAGATCAGAATCACGACCGTAGTCGATCTCGTCCTCATTGAAAGATGGGGTCTCGACATTGTCACTCTTGAAGTTTTCTGCACCATCAGACGGTTTGGAAGGATCTAGATTGTCCATGTCCTCGTCGTCGTCAGCTGCTTCAGTTTGAGCGATGTCTTCTTCCCAAGCCTTTCTGATCTCGTCCATAGTGGCCTGGTCCAAGATATCTTGATCATCATCTTCAGGCTCCTTCTCTTCCTTCTTTTCCTCTTCATCGTCGCTCACAAGATCAACGGGTGAATCGGAAATGACAGTGTTGCGAATACCACACGAGAGTAGCCTGCCTTGACAAGATAGACACACGGACAAAGATGAAGAAGTCAAATGCATACATGATGGACACAAAATATTGCCATCCACGTTGCGATACCCTTCACATGTTCTGGAGATGATTTCGTCCCAAGTTTCCTCACTGATGGAATCCTCGATCAGCTCTCCATTGTCATCGAATTGTACTTCATCGATAAGGGACACGAGCTTTTGGACGTTATCATCTGTCGCCGAGGCTGACTTCGTGACTTCGTCGGCTCTCTCGAGGATGGTATGCTTCTGAGCAACCCAAAGTCCATGACGTGCCGCTAGAACAACTTGCTCTCCAGTGCTTCCCAGCAGGAGTCTCCTCCATGCCTGAACGTAGTCGTCCCAATACCAAGCACCTCGTACACATCTCCATGGAACTTCTCTAAAAACAACAGTGTAGGAATTCTCCGAAATTCTTCCCCCAAGCTTCCTCAAAGTCATGATTGGAACATAAAGGCAAACGGGCATTCCCACTCTTGGCCATCTTGATCTCAGAATCTTTGATGATCGATCATCCCACGGCGCAAAGTGGTTGAAGAAAACACTACCTCTATATCCCTCCGTTCCACCAGGGACAATTCCTAGTTTCATGATCGACTCAATATTGGAAAGCGATGTCATGTGAAAGCTTCCTCCAAGCTGCATTGCCACATTCTCTGGAATGAGATGTGAAGTCCACACAGGATATATTGACACATCCTCTTCAAGAACAGTCTCTCTTCCAGAATTGTGAGAGGCAACAGCTCGAATTGCACAAGGAACGATCCAACGTTCATGCTTCAGAAATGACGGTGCATCTGTGCTGTAATACATGAGGTTTGCCCAGTATTGCCTTTCCTCTTCGAGTGAGACATCCTCCCTTGAGATACGAATGGCGGCAATCTGATAGCGTACTCTGTTCTGCAACTTCTTTGCATGCCACATCGCCTTGCATAAATACTGGTATCGCTCTGTCTTGACATCTTGCTCACGTTGATCATCTGAGATAGTACTGATATCGACACCATCGTTGAAGACATGGTCATATTCCAGGATCTCATCGATGTTCACCCATCCACCCTCATTGCACTTCGGGGACACATGAGGTTTTCGACCGCGGTGCGATTGAATCCCATTATGCTTTCCCACTCCATGCCTGAGTAGTCTATTGAGTCTATGGCTAACCTCGTTGACCCGCTGACTCTCCTCGCTGAACTTGTCGATGCGAGTTGCTGGGTTCATCTTTGGTGGATCCGTGAAAGTTGCATCTCTCTTCGGTCCATTCCAGTACTCCACATAGAATGTAACTCCATACTGTGGAATTATCTCGATGCTTCCTCTATCGCAAGTCACCTCAATCTGCCGATATCCAACCTTTTGAACTTGTTGTGGGTCAGGAGCAAGGTCCTTCACTTTGGGCATCTTTATTCCGAGTGCTGCAGCCTCCTGAATAAGTGCATCAAGTTCCCACTTTCCATTAGGACCTGATCTATCAACCCTGTGATTTGCGACCCTGTACTCTCCTCCTTCTTTGTCATCGGCAATGTCAAAGAGGTCGACGGGCTCTTTGAATCTGGTGACGAAACTGGCGTTCCCAAAGGCCTTCTTGGTTGCCTCGACCGCTTTCGCGTATTCCTCTTTTGCAGAGTCTGACGAGTGTGGTCTACCTTTGGCTCTCGGAGAGTGAGGTGGTACCTTACCTCCTAGTTCCGGTTCTTCTTCGGGAAGTTCAATATCTTCATCATCCACATCCATGTAGTCCTCGTCTTCGACGTTTTTGGATGACTTTGCTTTCCTCTTTCGGCTTTCAACATCACGTCGGATGATTGCCTTGTCGTCCTCGGTGAAGCACTTGCGCATAGTGTCCTCCATGTGAGAGAATGAGTTCATCAACTCGTCCTTCTTCTCAGTGTTGGGACAAATAGCCAGGTGATGTTGGTTTGAACCACAACAATAGCACACCTTTTGGCTCACTGCGCGTGCTCTGACCCTTCTGAGGTTGTCATAGGCGGTTTTCCAGTTGGAAGCGGTTGCTGTACCTTGCCCACTGCGCTTGGCAGCTCTTTTCCGTTCTTCAGTATCTGGATTCGATGTCGGGTAGTGCGACCATGTTTTCGTCGGGGATACTGAACGACCTTCCCCATCCTTGTAGTCTTGCGGATCAAGCTCAGGCGTAGGTGGTTCAGGCTCCTCGACTCCTGGAGTGGTACTCGCAGGGTCGGCTTCGCCATCCTTCATCTCTACATCAGGCTCTTCCGTAGACGTTCTTTTGGGCTCTGGGGCTATGGCCAGTCGTACCATTCTCCTGAACTCTGGTCTGGTAGCATAC